TAATTGTGTACCAGTTTAACGTTGAATATTATTTATGATTTTTACTTAAGGACAAGTTCCAATCTACCTAAAGTGAAGGGCCCGGCATGGCCAGGTGACTAGGGCTCTCGACTCGCGAAATTCAAACAAACAAAACCTAAAGTGATTTTTTGTTTTTTGTTTTTACCCACAGTTGATGGTTTTGTTAAAGTTTAATCAAAATACGCTATACTGAAGTATAGTGGTTTGTTTGTTTGTTTGTTTGGAATTTCGTGCAAAGCTACAAGAGAGCTATCTGCGCTAACCGTCCCTAATTTAGCAGTGTAAGACTAGAGGGAAGGCAGCTAGTCATCACCCCCACCGCCAACTCTTGAGCTACTGTTTTACCAACGAATAGTGGGATTGACCGTCACATTATAACACCCCCATGGCTGAAAGGGCGAGCATATTTGGTGTGACGGGGATTCGAACCCGCGACCCTCAGATTGTCATGCCAGGCCGAACCCGAAATTGTGGAATATAATGAGAAAATAATGTATAGTTCTCTGGAAGAACATTAAGTCGCTATTAGTACTTATACAAGGCCAACCTCCGCCTTTGCCTGGTCCCAAGTCCAGGATGAGAAAGGAGGAGGGTTGGGCGCGAGGCTAGCAACTCCACCCCGTAAAAACCAACCTGCTACAAGTAACTGCAACAACAACTTTCCGTTGGTGAGGTGTTGTTACGGCCCTATGCTCCACTGGGAGTTTACAGGAATAAAAAAAAAGTACTTATACAGTTAAATAATTTGTTTGATTCGAATATTCGCGGAAAGCTTTACAATAGCTATCTGTGCTAGCTGTCCTTAATCTTGAAATGATAGACAAGAGGAAAGGCAGCTAGTCAACAGCACCCACCGCCAACTCTTGGGCTACTCAAATCAAATGGTGAGATTTACCTATCGCTCTCATAACGCACCCATGGCCCTCACACTGCGGGGCACACATTTTTGTTTCGTAATAAAGGGAACCGAGGTATGGACCCTCGGATCCATAATCCGGCACTCTGATCAATGGGTCATGCTTGGTACCTTGTAAATAGCCTTAAACGGAGCCACAATCCGGCACTCTGACCAATGGGTCATGCTTGGTACCTTGTAAATAGCCTTAAAGAGTTGCACCTTAAAATGTTTGAAATTTACAACCACTCCCGGTACGCATGTTTTCATAATATATATATTACACATACACTATTTATTTGGCTAAAGTAGAGGTCTTTCCCTGTTTTTGATTATAACAAATTGTACATTTGTATATTTAATTTTTCTAGTTGCACACGCATGCATACTGAGAAGAACAGTGCTGAGAGATCTTCGTGGTACGGATCTTGTTAACCTCAAAAATCCAACCGAGTGTTTCCAGGCGGCCAAAAGTCCTGATGTTGTGAACAGTGCTGAAAAAATTATGAAGATCTGGATCGAACAGATTCAGCAGGTACTCTGATGAGGATTAAAGACGTTTGATCTTATCTAATATACGAACATTCAGTTGGGACTTTACTCTACTGAAACGCGTTTTTGTTAAGGGAAAAAAATGTTTCAATAGTATGTTTGTCAATATGTAAAAATTCATAACATAAAGCTATGAATAATTTTCGAAAACATAGACTTTGAACAGTGTTGTTGAAATTATGGACGAAATCTGTCTACCTTTTACTGTAGGCATGATTTTGTAAATATATATATATAATACATATATACATATTCAAGCTATGTAGTAACTTTCATTAAGTCTGTAAATAATCATCAATTTAAGTAATACTCAGAATGCGAGTAACTTGATTTGATTACACTGGTCAACAAATTTAAACTTTTATTTTATTTATTGCAAGAAAGTATTTTTTATCAATTGTTTTTGTTATTGTTTTTGAAGTTAAACACAAAGCTACATAATGGGCTATCTGTGATCTGCCCACCACGGGTATCGAAATCCGAATTCTAGCGTTGCAAGTCCGCAGACATACCGCTGTGCTACTGGGGGGCTTTTTTTTATCAAATCAACATGCTGTTTATATTGAGAATATCTATTTTTGCGTGGTGCATATGGTTTTTTTTACATGAGCCAATTAACTTTTCTTACAGTATATACAAGGTTTGCAGGGTTCTTGAGAAATTAAACTATACAAGACAGAAATATTATTCATTATTTTATCTATGCAAAACAGAAATATCATTTATTTTACTTAGACGAAACAGAAATATTATTTATCATTTTATTTTATCCGTAAAAAACATATTTGAATTGTACCTGTGACAAGAATCTCTTAGCCAATGATTTTCGTTTATAGCTTGCATCAAAGTATTCTCTTACCAGTGTCCAGCAATAGTCAGCCAGCATATTTGGATTCTATTGGTAATGCTTTCCCATGACAACAATGTCTTGGCAAAACCTTGTATCATATTCATGACTAACGTCACAAAGATTGAGCGGGAAAAAAATCTAAGTGGGAATGGAGAAAGTAGGTCTACAATAGCATGCTACATCCCATTATTTTATAAGTTTGAATTAGTTCATCAACTAGCTGTTTGTAGCTTGGAACCCTCTTACTTTCCAAGAAGTTTTGATAACAACTTTGAAGATATTCCATGCAGCACTTTCAGTTTCATTCAGAAGTTCATCAAAGTCACTATCATTAATTACTTCTATGATTTGTGGACCAACAAAAACACTTTCCTTTATTCTGTCATCACTTATTCTAGGAAATTTTTGAAATACAGAAATTCCTCACCATCTCTGTTCATAGTTTTTACGAAATTCTTGAAGTGGTAGAAAGTAGACGATCTTTGGGCGATGTCTGACAATTTTCTGACCGGTAATCAAACTATGACGAAGTCGCTAGTCTTTAACGGTGTAGTGGGAATTTTTAGCGCAACTATCCCATTCACAAAGGAAACGTGAGTAATTTGTATATCAGGACTGCATACCAAAAAGAAGCCCTATGACTTTCAAGTCCCTACAGATGTGCCAGTTGTACTTTGTGTACTCTATATGGTGGAGAAGAAAGTCTGTACTTTCGTACGACTCTTGCATTTGAACAGCGTGTGAAATGTGAACTAAAGGATACACATTCCCACTATGTAACAACACAACATTTGAACTTAATTTTGATGAGTCAATAAAGAGTCGCCATTCTTGTGAGTTACGTTGCGGACCTAAAGCCGTCAGCAAACCATTTACATCATTTCAACAAGTTTTCACTCATGAGGAAAAACGAAGACATACTTTTCTGATGATTTCTGAAAACAGTGACCTTACAGTATAGGCTCCGAAAGTTCTGTTTGACTTTTAGAGATATAAAAATCTCTGACGTAATTATTCAGTTCAGCTTGATTGATTAAATTTGGTTCATTGAATACAGCTGGCTAAAATTTTTCATCTCAATCTGTTGATATATTCATGGAGTCATTTACAGAAGATACATCTACTAAGGTTCAGTTTTCCAGAAGCTTCAGAATTTAACCAAGCCCTGAGATTAATTGCAAAAGTTGCACATCAAATGTGTGGATTTCGGATTTTATCTTAATCTCCAACTTTACAAGAGAAGTAAAGTTAATATGCCTTTTTATTTAAAGGGAACACATTTATTTTCTAAGATTTGGGTGTAAGTTATCCACATATTTAACAAAAAAAATTATGTGCGTGGATATATCTACGAAACATGGCGCCTTTTCAAATCTAAAAAGAAAGGTTTCTTTTAAAATAATAACATACTATAATCAAACATTTAGCAAAAAAGGATAGAAAAACTACAAATGCTATGTTAAAATGCTAAAAGTGACAAAAAGATAAAACAGTTAAATATTATTTGGTTCTACTTCTTTTTAATTGTGGCCCGGCATGGCCAGGTGGTTAGGGCGCTCGATTCCCAATCTGCGGATCGCGGGTTCGAATCCTCGTCACACCAAACATCTCGCCCTTTCAGCCGTGGGGGCGTTATAATGTGACGGTCAATCACACTATTCGTTGGTTAAAGAGTAGTCCAAGAGTTGGCGGTGGGTGGTGATGACTAGCTGCCTTCCCTCTAGTCTTGCACTGCTAAATTAGGGACGGCTAGCGCAGATAGCCCTCGTGTAGCTTTGCGCAAAATCCATAACAAACAAACAATCTTCTTAATCGGGATTCGGTCTATGTTTTGGAATAAGGAGAGTCATGTTCAGCGTTGACCTCTTTCTCCCTCTCGGGAATTATTATTTTGTTTGCACTGTTACTGAATCCTAGGTAATGATCCTTGTTATGTTGTTGCATTACTCACAATATGTTAAATTTTGTCCATTGTCCGCAGTTTTTAATTAACTATTCGTGTCAGTTCTAATTCAGTGGATAATATTAACTCATATATTTTCACTAGCTTCACTTGTTGTAGATATACTCATAAAATAACTCGCTTTTTTTCCAAATTCTGTTTTTTTCTATTAAATTACACTGTTGAATAATTTACAACATTTTAAATCATTTACTCAAATCGCTCCGATTATCTATTCCACTCAGAATTCATTTTCTGAAACTGTATTCTTCAGCCTGCATTTTATTCTGTTTGTATAGTTTCAAATACATTCCAGAAATTTCCAAAACCAGCAAAAATAGAACGAACATAGCAAATTTATTATGTTCCACAAACATGCATAAAATACATGAGGCCGGCATGGCCAAATGGTTAGAGCGCTAGACTCGCAATCTGTGGGTCGCGAGTTAAAATCTCCATCACACCAAACATGCTCGCCCTTTCAGCCGTGGGGGCGTTATAATGTGACAATCAATTCCACTATTCGTTGGTAAAAGAGTAGCCCAAGAGTTGGCGGTGGGTGGTGATGACTAGCTGCCTTCCATTTAGTCTTACACTGCTAAATTAGGGACGGCTAGCGCAGATAGCCCTCGTGTAGCTTTGCGTGAAATTTAAAACAAACAAAATACATGAAATATTTACACACGCGATTTATTTCTTTGTTGATGGTTCCCTCCCACTATTACATGAAACAATACATTTTAATCAAATACCTTTTAGCACATTTTCTTTTTCTCAAAAACCTAAGGTGATAAAATAATTTCAAGGACATTTTCGTAATCAGCGCACAGCAAAGATTACATATTTTCGTTAAAGAAACACTACTTTTGTTGACCAGTGTTATTTAATATGGAATAATCGAATCATCAATTTGGTATGGTGAATATTTCAGTATTTTCAAAAACAAAAAAATAAAACTTGTTTCCATTTTAAAAATATAATATAAAGTATGAAATACATCACGTTTTATCATTCAATTCTAAAGTGATTATTTTTAAATTTTAAATACAAATATTATATTTATTACACAGTGACTGAACGGTGCTATTCCTTCCAGATGTCACTAATATTAAGTTCGGTCTCGTCTGCTACAACTAGATGTTGTAACTCAGATTAATTATCTCCATCATTAGATTTATTATATTTTTAACAATAACAGTACATTCTTTATTCAGTTCTGTGGGTGTTTTCACGAAAAAGGAAAGTGTATAATGATATTTTAACCCCACTATGTCTGCGATATCCATTGCCGACGACTTGTTTCGTTCACTAATAGTAATAGTAGTGGTCGGAACACAATTTACATAGTTTATGATTCATGTGTTACAACAACAATTGTTAATTTTATGGTGTGAACACCTTTTTTAAGCTGGCGAAGAATGATTACAAATTTACAATCAATTATACTTTTCATTAGATGTTAGTATAATTAATTGTAATCATTCTTCGTCAGCTTAGTAAAGGCATTCATAGAATCATACCATAACAAATGTTGTAGCAACTTAGAATTAGCATGGTGCAAAGCTCTTGCCAAGTATTAATCAATTTAATGCCTGACATACACTGATCCTCTTTATTGTAAATGTAAGAAACACTAGGTGAGAAGTAAGCTTTGTGGACCAGATATTTTAAATCACTTTCTTGGATGTTCTGAGACTGACCTTATAATTTATGATATATAAGTACTAAGTAGAGAGATCTATGTCTCTCTGTGCTGCTTCTTGTGTAACTTGTATGGTTATTGTGAGAGAGGGATATTTAAGTATTTTGGGCACTTTTTTGAAAAATAATTACATCATGAAAATGTATTTACCATATCACAAACTAGTTGAAAAATTACATATGTTTCCCAAATTTTTACTGTTATCATAATCAAGTGTGAAATAACAAAAAAGAGAAATATTAAAAAATAAAATCCCAGGGCACTCTATAAGTTGAAGTCACGGTCTTTTGATTCTTCTGCTTCAATATTTCTCAGTGTAAGTTTGTGGATAATAATATTAATACTATAGTAATACTAATAAAATCTTGTTAACACAGGAGTATAAAATATTAAAAAAATGAAGATCTCACAATCAGCATTACAGAATTACAAAAGAAAACCCACTCTTAAATACATGTATGGGTGAAATTTGTTGAAGATCATAATTTTGTATAGTTATTATGGACTTTCCAATATTTATATACTTATAATACTAACATTAGTCTGCATTATGCTTATTGTTAGCAACACTGAACCAAGATCTTGTAAGTATAAAGGGGAAGGGGACAATACCAGTATGTGGAACGTTAATTTACTCAGCACAGAATCCATTGTGTGTTTTGTCTTGAATCCTTCTTTACAAGTTAATACATTATTTGGGTCACTTAAAGAAACAAACAACCACACGATTGGCAGTTTATTTGGATGATGAAAAATGTTAGGAGAAACATTTTGAAAGTGAAGCCAAATCTAACTAAGTTTTAGTAAGTTCTGTTATATCATAGTTCTAATAGTCTTATATTTTACATGTTATGCTGTAAGTTTATTTCTAATCTTCCCATTGTTCAAGTTATCCTATCAATTATTTATTCCTAATTTCCCAAGTCCTTTCACCACTATGAAAGTTTAGTTTAAACTGAATATAATTAATTTCTTTAGAACTTTCCTGAACATCTTGCTACCTAGCCTGTTTAAGTGGAACTCATTGCTAGCAAATAATTCTTCCTTAATTTGAAAACTATCCCACAGATCCAACTAGCCCAACTATTGTTCTAAACATATCCTCTATACTTTTACATTTAAGCTTTGAATCCTGCTAACATCTAGCCTGAGGGAACTTATAATGATAAATTCTGCAGTTTTATAACTGTTTAAATATAGGGTTGAAGAATATTTGGGGGATCAGAACTGGATTTATTGATTCATTTTATCTTTGCTAAGAGAGGTTGGGAGACATGAAATCTTTGATGAGCCAAAAAGTATCTTGATATCCATAATTTATAATATAACTCATTAGAGAAAATATTTTGCTGAAGAAAAAGGTGTGATTTGGGTTTCTAATGTACATGCTTCCCTAATTTTTAAGTTTATATTTCAACTTTTACTTTATGTTATTCAAACAGATTGTATTTAGATAGATCTTTAAAGCCCTTAACAGTTGTAAACATCTGGTTAAATACCATTTAATTCTTTGTAAATCTTCACTCTGGAGAAACAAGTTCTTAATTTTTATTCCTTTTGTCATACCTCAAATTTCTTAAACCTGGTTTAATTCTAGTAGTCTGTTTCTATGTTCTTTTCTTAATGTTGATGTCCTTTCAGTAGTAAAAGGACAACTTTTTTGACTCCACACCTTATTCTAGATGAGACTTACATAAATAGTTTCCAAAATTCTTATTTTTACTTTTAAAATTATAAATTTGTGGAAATATGAACTAATATAATACTAAATACTGAAAAATGTGTGCTGTGTATATATATTGTATAATTTTATAAGAGTCTGTATGCACTAAAACTTTAAGAGGTGTTTTAAAATGATATAGTAACAATTTCTCTTTAAGTATTTAAGGGTTAGTCAATTTATAAAATTGTGATTTAGAAAAATGAAATATAGTATATTGTAAAATAATATATGTTTTTCGTTTGGGTCTAAATACTCAACTTATTGCATAAAGATAAAATTAATTTTCTTAATTTGTGACCATTATAGAAATTAGATTTCACATACAATTACTGGAAGACTTATTTAGTATTTGCTACAGTTTGACTTATAAAATTAACTGTTATTGTGTTAGCCAGTTTTTCTTTAGTTGAAATGGAAGATTTATTAATGTTATATGTATTAACGTTATTTGGATGAATACTTGAAATCTTTCATTCAAGGTTACAACTTAGTGTTGAAAAATGTTGATATAGTTAATCTCATGTTTTTTTGTTAAGTAACCTTATTTTTAACAGAATATCAATTATGTTTTGAGTAATGTGGAGTTTTGAATTGCTAGTAGTAATTGTAAATTAGCTTCTATGTGATTCATATTTCTCATTATTGAAATTTTGACAAAAGAGTTTTTGAAATTGTAGCTTAATAGATTTAGCTCATTCCAAATTTGTTGGAAGTAGCTAACACCTTATTGGGCAGTAAAATATTTCTTGAATTCTGTAATATGATTTAGCTGCCATAGCACCAAGTAACTGTATAGAGTGTCACTTAGATTAGATTTGGTCTGGTTCAAATTAAATAAATCCTGTTTCACATTTTCTTTACTGAACTAATTAATGCATGTTATTCTAATTATTTTGTTTTATGTAAATTTATAGTTAGAGGAAAATAGAAGACTCCTCTTCAGTTAAGGTAGACCAGTTTTTATAAAATAACATGAATATTAATCAGTATGTGCATTTTTACATAAAAGTTTTTGACTACAAAGTGTAAAAAGGGTTTACACACAAGGGTAACACACCATGGGTATTTTATAGTATCAAAGTTTTGAAAAAAAAAGCCATTGTTTTTCAGCATGCACATTTGTCACTCATATTTGTTTTACATTATTTAACATGTACAGAAAATTCAGCAATTCACAGTTTATTTTTTAGTACTTCATTTATTATATCTGAAAGAAAAATATGTTCCACCTCTGAGAGATCATTGTGTTAATCTGAAGTAATAAGCTTAAAAGCATGGCTATAATATTTTTAATTCTGTTGATATCAGACTTGTCAGTACTTTTTGATACTGGAGAAAGTTCCTGAATTGTTAAAGAAAATAAAAACTAAGTTGCTTATGAAATGAGAATTTTGAACTTTATAATTTTACATAATACTAACAGTGCATTACAGATAGACTAAGGCCTTAAATATTTAGCTCTGTGTAACTTTAAAAATCTAGGTTGCTTGAATAATATTTATTACAGGATTATAATTTCTGCTCCTCTGTAATTTATTTTCACTTGTTTAATACTGTAGAAACATGAGAGAAATATACATATCTGCAAAAAATGATATTGATTATGTATTTAGAGAATACAGAATTTCTGAAGAACTTTATATATATATATATATATATATATATATATATATATATATATTATACTTATAGTATGTCTCGTA